CCGATTATTAGATCACGAGAATTTTGACTATAAAAATTGCTCCGAGGGGGTGCTTAATTTCGGAAGTATACGGTAATTTTATTTTTTATATAAAAATTTTTTCATAAATTTTTGTAAAAACGACAAATATTTAAATCTCAAATAAAAATTTTCTCGTTAAAGTTTTTTTATAAAAAGTATCAATCTGATTGGATGAATTTGCTTGAAGGATTGCGGCTTTGGACCCGGTCCTGGGATCGATCAACTAACAGTTTTTTGTATCAGGTCTGGGACCGTTGTTTCAGGTCCTAGGACCGGATTCGCAATTTAACATCCCTATACGTGGCAAATGTTTTGATGATCCTTGATCGAGAACTTTATGGGAATTTACTTTGCAAGAATAAGTGACGTTATCGAATAAGAAAATAGGAACCAATGTTAAATATGAAAGTCAAATATAGTCTTCGCGCCATATCACGTGTAACAAGTCAACAATTTGTGACCGCGTACTTTTAAGTATAAGTGAATAAACGAAAACTTCGTTTCTGCTAATTCCCGAGGATCAAATTATATTGTACACACTTTATTAAATATTATTACTAAAAATACGAAATTTTTATATCTTTTGGTAGTTTCTTTATTCTTAATACGGGAATACAATAAAATGGAAAGTTCACCGCTTCTACCAATTAGGGAGAATGGTATAAATCTCGGCTCCGGTCGCAAATTTTACAACTCCCTAGCGCTTGGAATTCTGTGTATTAGCATTGCGTCATTCGTTATACAAACAGTATGTTGATCAATTGTGAAGTTCTTAACGCACTCGAGAAATGTATTAATATAGTTTGTTAATAGGAACTGGCGCAAGCGATCCAAACTGGGAAGAAATTTCATAAACCATACTTTCTATTGTAAGTTGCATAAGCATCAAATTCTCCTTAATTATTTGATCTAATTAATATTCCAAATCAGATGGATTGTGCACAGCAGCTGGGTGATAATGATACCACTTCAATTCGCATTTCAGCCGAATTTTAAAGCATATATTGCGGAATTTATTAGAACAGGTAATGAACTAGTTAGTAAAGTCAATCCAATATATCAAATAAATTATGTAGATATGGAAGACGAAGAAGACGGCGTTACACAACATAGATTTATATCTGTACCTCACAAGTTTATCCTCGCGTACCTTTTCAAGATCTCATTTTTCCTTGCAGTCATGGTTTGCGCTGTAGGATATGCTTGGTATGTGGCTGTAAACTATACTACCATGGCCAATCTAACGGCAATATACAACACTAGTTGTTTTTGGGCATATGCTTTTTCTGTGCTTTTACTGGGCGAATCGATGAAAATAGAAAAAGTTTGTTCCGTATTTTTAAGCATCGCAGGTGTAATAATCATGTCATTATATCAAACGGATTCAACGTTGGGATATGATATCGGTGGGGATGCTGTGGGTGGTAATGGCATCTTTCATACAGGAGATTTAATTGCTTTGATTGGAGCAGCTTCTTATGGATTGTATGAAGTACTATATAAGAAATATGGAAGTCCGCCAACCCCCTCGATTTTATTTTCAAACACTTTAACAGGTTTAATTGGTGTATTCTCCTTAATTTTTCTATGGGTGCCCATCCCCATATTACACTATACAGGAATAGAAAAGTTTTCTTTTCCAGATATGAAGACTTTTGGTTACATTCTGCTCATGGCTTTTTCAGGAGTTGTTTTCAATGCAAGCTTTATGATAGTAATTGCTTTAACATCACCTATTTTTGCCGCTATTGGGATATTGTTGACCATCCCTGCAGTAGCATTTGTAGATTCATTGGTGATTAAATCTTCGTTAGATGCAGGTACATTCGTTGGTAGCTTGTGCATATTAATTTCATTTGTTTTGCTAAGCTGGAAAAGCATCAAAGATGAAATAGAAAGGCGTAGATCGGATTAAATAGAGATCTACATTGTAACCTCTCTATTAGAGATGATGATCGATCTCACAATAATTAATTACTCAATCTTAATGCTCACTAAATATTTTGTCAATACGTTCTATCGTGAGAAAAATCGAATGCAGTAATCATTCAGAACACCATCCTATTCTAAAGATATGAAAAAAAATGACCGAGCATGATCGATCCTATGAAAATAGCCCTAACGCTCGATAGTTTTGAATACAATTTTGCAAAAACTAGTGTTACATCTTTACAAACAAAGTTTTTATATATTTAAATCAAAAAAATTTGATCTTTCACCATCTCTACTCTCTATTATCAACTGAACATTTAATTGATAGGAGTTGAACAATATAGGGGATTGATAGATAGTGTATTGTGGGATTATATTATATCGCATTATGGTACTGAAAGAGACTTCAGGTAGAAATCAATAAATTATATACATTTGACTGATATTGTCATGCAACTGTTTTCTAAAATAGTTATCATTGTTTTTGAGAATCTTGTAGCATTCGACAAAGACTTCTCTCATATTAAATTCAGCTCATGAAAAATCTGATCGGCGACGTATATTTGATTATGTATCGTATATCACCATTAGTACAGGAGCGACCGTCGATGTTACACGACTGACTTTTCACCCGGTGTGCAACATATAAAAAAACTATTTTACA